AAATCAAAATCCACAAAACATACCATATTCGGATTATTTTTAGAAAATAAATTGTTAAAAAAATACACGCCATTATGGTGGAAATATATTTCCAAGTCAAAATATAGAAAATCTTCGGGGCGCGGACCATTTTTAGCAATTAAAATGTCGAAAAAATAAACGCCATTATAGTACGAAATATATTTCCAAATTAAAATATATAAAATATTAGGGGTACGAACCATTTCGGTAATTAAAATATCAAAAAAATATATATCGTTAAAATACGAAACATATTTCCAAATTAAAATATATAAAATATCAAGCAATCAGACCATTTTTAGAAATTCCAATATTAAAAAAATAATACATTATTATAATTTAAAACACATTTCAAAATCAAAATATTAAAAATACCAAAATTCGAACCACTATTAGAAATTCAGATGTCAATTCACTCCGCTTCATTTCGTTACATTATATTATATTACATAATATTACACTACATTACACTACATTACACTCCACTACACTACACTACATTACATTACACCACACTCCAAAACACTACAACTACAACTACACAACTGCACTCCACTACACTCCACTACACTCCACTACACTACGCTACACTACGCTACATTACACAACTACAACTACACAACTACACTCCACTACACTACAACTACACTACACTACATTACATTACACTACACTACACTACGCTACCTTCCACTACACTTCACTACATTACATTACACTACACTACACTACGCTACCTTCCACTACACTTCACTACATTACAATACACTACACTCCACTACACTACAAATACAACTACGCAACTACACTCCACTACACTCCACCACTACATTACACTACACTCCACTACACTACATTACAGTACACTACACTACCTCCCACTACACTTCACTACATTACTCTACACTACACTCCACTACACTACAACTACAACTACAACTACACAACTACACTCCACTACACTCCACTACACTCCACTACACTAAATTACACTACACTACACTACATTACGCTACACTACACTACATTCCACTACACTACACTACACTACACTACATTACACTGCGCTACATTACACCGAATGACACTTGCACCACAGCATAGACAGTAGACAGATAGACAGAAGACAGATAGACAGATAGATAATAGATAGATAACAGGTAGAAACAGCTAGACAGATAGACCGATGAAACGAGGAAGGAAGAGATTATAGATAGATAGACAGGTAGACAGCTAGACAGATAGACAGATGAAAGCGAGAGAGAGAGATATAGATAGATAGATAGATAGATAGATAGATAGATAGATAGCTAGCTAGCTAGCTAGCTAGATAGATAGACAGACAGACAGACAGACAGATAGATAGATAGATAGACAGGTAGACAGGTAGACAGCTAGACAGATGAAAGAGAGAGAGAGATAGATAGAAAGAAAGATAGGTAGATAGATAGATCGATAGATACATAGGTAGATAGATAGGTAGGTCGGTAGGTAGATAGTCAGAGAAAGAGAGAGAAAGAGAGGAGACATCAATCACCTTTCGGTCCATCAGTGGCTTCGCTCTGCCATCCGTGATTCACAACAACCAACCTCTCCTATGGGTTTCCTATTTTTGAAACTTCCGCCACCGCCTTGTGCGGTACTACTGGTATCAAACATGTTTGAAAATTGAAGAAAAAGAAAAGTTCTTAAAATCTTAGAGCGTAGCATCAATGATGGTATAATGGGAGAAGTATGAAAATAAAATCGAAAAACATAGCATCAATGCGGGTAGAATGTGAGAAAAGAAACAAAAGAAATCTTAGAGCGTAATATCGCTGATGTCTGAAAAATAAAGAGAGTATCTGAAAGCATGGCATCAACAATGTTGGATAATTAAGAAGATCTTTGAGCGTAGAATGGCTGATGTTGGAAATTTGAAGAGAAGATCTTTGAGCGTAGCATCAATGATAGTAGAAAATTGAAGATCAGTTGCAGTTTGGAGATTGAAGAGAAGATCTTAGGGCGTCTTGACCAGTAGAGTCAAGGGCGTAGCATCAATGATGGTAGAAGCTTGGAAGAATGATGCGCAGATCTTGGAGCGTAACATCAATGATGGTAGAGTATTTGCAAGTTGGGTAGATCTTAGAGCGTAGTAGTAGCCAGTTAGAAGCCTAAGGAAAAGCTGTTGGGTAGTAGCATCAATGCATTCTATGTAAAACATGCAGAAGGTCTCGGAGAATATCAGAGCGTAGCATCAACGTTGGAAATGCTTATCCCCGGTGCATTATTTGCTTCCTTTCATTTAACGTTTCCCTTCCATTTGCTATAGCATTCCTTTCGTTTCAATTCTTCCCGTCCATTTGATATGTCCTTTCTTTCGTTTCAATACTCCCATCCCGTTCATGTATTTCTTCCTTTCGTTTCAAGCCGTTCATGTGGTTATATCCTTCCAATCATCTCAATTCCTATAAAATCTTTTCGATTCGATTATATATTTTATTGTAACTTACCTATTTCATTTAATATGTCCTTCTTTAAGTTTCAATATTCCCCCACATTAGTTACTTCCTTCCTTTCATTTCAATTCCTTCCTTCCGTTTGCTGTCAAGCTCATCATTTCGTTACGTCCGTCCTTATGTTTCTCCTCATTTATAAAGTTCCTTCGTTACTTCTTCCCTTTCGTTTCTCCTCTTATACCTCTTACAGTCTATTCGTTATTTTAATTCTTTCGTTACAATTCTTTCCTTTCATTCGTTATATATCTCTTTCGTTATAACTCTTTCCTTTGTTATTTCCTTCCTTTCGTCGTTCGGCCGTTCCTTTCGTTTCAACTCTTTCCTTTCATTCGTTTTTTTGTGGGGTGGAGCAATCCGGACTGGTATTTTGCAATCCAAGCAGCTACCTGCGGCCACTTGCAACCACTTCCGGCCGCCGCTTGCGGCCACTTGTGGCCACTTGTGGCCACTTGCGGCCACTTGCGGCCATTTGCGGCCACTTGCGGCCACTTGCTCCAGCGGCCACTCGTGGCCACTTGTGGCCACTTGCGGCCACTTACTCCAGCTACGGCCACTTGCAGCCACTTGCGACCACTTGCGGCCACTCGAGTGGCTGCAAGTGGCTGCGTTTTTAAAATTCAAATAGCGCGCGTTTTGCAACCTCAATAAATTTATTATTAGATATAAATATATATATATTATATATTTATTTATTTATTTATTTATTTATTTATGTAGACCTTTCTCGAATTTTTCACCGCTCTTTTGCGACCTTTCACCACTACAATAAAAATACTCGTCCATATCTGTAAATATTACTTAAATACTAAAAGTCTTACATAAATTTTATAACAAATTCCAAATAAATCTAAGAAAAATTAAGTTAAGAAAATCTAAGAAAAAAATAATTTATAATAATTCGATTATATCCGGTATAGGGGAAAAATATAAGGCAAATGATATGATATGAACCATATTAATCTTAGAACTATATTTCATAAATTATATTTCCTCAGAATCTAAAATTATTGTGTATATTTACATATTATTTTCATATTATTTCATATTTGTATTTTACGAATCGAACAAGCAACGGGAAGGCGCAAGTTATCACGGTTTCATGGTCTGCTGCCAAGGTCTGGTCGTGTTTTCTTGCACCTTGCCACAAAAGTTCACTTGATAGATCCGTTTGTCAGATCAACTAGAGATTTTATTTTTACATCTGTTTGAAGATTGATTGTTTATCTTCTTGTCAAATGTCAGCTTTGCTGCTCATTTTCCAGCAAGTTTCTGCTGGATCAACTCCACAAAGGCGTATTCCCCTGTATACTCCTGGCATTCCTCTCTGATTTTGGAAGCTGCGATGCGCATCTCCGGTGAGTGAGCAAGATCGTGCATCAAGCCAGCAATCTGCGATGGAGGATCAAACTTCATAGCCTGGATGGCCATACCTCAGCAGATTTGATGCAAACACCTGGGCATACTCGGTGATGACAGCCGCTGGTTCCGGCATTCCAACGCAGTATGATCCAACAGTCTTTTCTCCAAAGAATGCATCAACATATGTGCTTCAGCCAAAGCAGAAACCGTGCTGCCCCAAAAGCAAGAGCCCCCAAGATCCCCCAAGCGAGAGGTTTTCCACAAGTGTGGGGCAGCAATAAGGTGCAAAAAAATGGGGCAATATCTGCAATAAAATGGGTACCACGTGCAGCTCTGCGACCCTTGTTGACAGCAAGACGGATGTTGAGGTCTTGCTCTGGCATCATACCAACACCCACGAACGGAACTCCAGAACACATGCTGGTGTGAACTGTTCCTGGCTCATGGCGTACCAAATGAAAAGAGGCACAGCCAAAACGATGACACGAGTACTACGTGTCACTGTCAAGTGTCCACCCTTTTGGATGCGCAAACTATCTATTCTTGCACTTTGCAAGGATCCTAATGACTTCAATCACGCATAACCATGCAGGAGTTTGCACGAAGGCAGAATTCAACCCGGAAAAAAAGGGAATCTGGCAAAGCAACTTCCATTAAAGAATCCTCCATATGAGTGAAACCGTTAGCAGAGTCCTTGTCCACCATGCGTGAGTGCCAGATCGCACAGGGGCTCCACTTTTTGGGATGGAAGCAGTTCTGGAGGAATGTAGAGCTGTGGCGAATCCAGACCTCCATGCAGCGGGACACAAAACCACCTCCATTTTCACAGGCTTCCCCCTCCAAAAAAAACTCTCAAAATCCTAGAGTCCTAGAGCTGATCGTGCTTTGTTCTCTGGTTTTGTTGACTCCGAAACCGGAACAAATTGTTTCAATTTTCACAAAGTGAAGCTAAGCATACATCTGTCAGGAAAGACCTACGACACGGCATCCGAGCCTGCTTCAGCCTTGGCTGAAGCATCACTGGCATTGATCTTCAGTTTTGCCAGCAGCGCGTGCACCGGCGCGACGATGAACCACTTTGGTTGCCTACCAGTTTCAGTCACCATTCTGGGAAGTTTGGTGCAAA